TGCGGCGCCCAGGTGTTCGCACATCGTTTCGCGCCCAGGGTGTTAACAAATCGTGCCGCCAAAAACCCCGCAGACGGTGTTAACAAATCCTCTGGCCAAGAACACCGCAGACGGTCTTCACAAATCGTGCGCCGCCCCGCATGCGGTCTTCACAAATCGCGCGGCTACAAACCCAGCGCGCGGTTCGTGGACCCACAGGGGGGTCCACCGAAGGCCCCAGTAGCATCGTCCACATGGCGGCGCCACGTCACATGGACGCACCCCTCACACGGTCCGCGGCCCCACATGGAGCCCCCAGTTGTATATGGTTGGGTTTTTCGCCAGGCTACATTGTTTTTTTTTTTTTTTTGTTTGGTGGCTGGGCGTTTCTTATCCGCGTTGTTGGGTTAGCCTGGTGGTAAGGAGCCCAGGGAAACAATTGTTAGGAACAGTTGAGGTTCCGCAGTGTTGTGGCGGATGATGAAGGCAACCTGCGGCATGACATTCGAGACATCAGAACCGCGATTCAATTGTCCAGGAAACTCGTTTTGGACAGTTGCGTTTTCACATCAGTTTTTTTTGTTGCTGACATGTGGTAGACGCATGGTTTCGGACAGTTGAGGTTTGATGAAATGTCATTGGGTGCATTGGTGCACATGCTAATTTGCACACTGGCCCCGCATTGTCCCAGGTGTTGTGCTTGATAAAGGGGGGCATCGTGGCGCGTCCTCGCGTGGCCCTGCGTTCGTTTTCCGTCATTTTGAGGCCGTTCGGGGCCGTCATATGGGCCCCGTTGAGGACCTCGTTGGAAGTTTTTTGGGGCGCTCGGAGCAATCTCGCGGCCCATCCGAAAATGCGGAAAACAAACGCGACAGATTTTTCAAACGTGGACACAAACGATGAAACATGCATGGCGTCGGCTTCTGTGGACCAGCGCGGGGGCCGCCCTTGCGGAGCTCTTGGGCCGCCTGGGCGGCCGCGGGTTGAGTGCTTTTCCTATTCGCGGACTCCTTTCGAGACCGCCTGTGGGCGTCGTTTGATAATCTATGATGATTTATGGGCCGTCTCGGGGCCCTCTCCGACAATCGGGCGGTCTTCTGAGGGGTCGTTGGCCGTCTCGGAGTGGTCTTTGGGGACCTCGAAGGCCGCCCTGGGGCGCCAGGGAGCCCGAAAGGTGCGGACCTCCACATCTTGAATATAATCAAGGATAGATCAATAGTATTTGTCTTTCGGTGCTGTGGTGGGGGCCCTCGGATATCCTTGCGCGCGTTTGCGCCGCCTCGTGCGTCCTTCGTGGGTCTTGTCGGTGCGGAATCAAAGGATTAGCTGGTCGCGGCGCGCCTTCTGGGATCCCCAAGGGGCCGTCGCGATGTCTTCCTGCGCCGCCTCGGGGCCACGCGCGGCCGTCTCGGGGCCCGCTTTGGAACTTGTCGGGCAGCGTAGGGCCAACATTGGATTGGGACGCGCGGGGGTTGAAACGATCAAACAGATGGTTGTTGAGACGGGGCGGCTGTTGTGTCACTTATGCACGGCCGTGGCCTCGATGACACTAACCAGACGCATTGCGCGCGCCAAACGGGGTGCGATTGCATATCCTGTCGAACTGCAAGTACGTCATACGCCTTAGAGAACGTTGGAAATAATCCCAAATGGAAGCGCGAAGCGTTTTCACGCGCCTCTGCGTGCGAAAGCATGGTGGCGGCCTTCCTTTCCTTCCCCTCCGACCCCCTTCCCCCCCTCGCCGCGCTCTACTCTGCGTCCCCCCGCTGCGCCTCCGGCCCCCGCCCCGCCAAACCCTCCGCTCCTGCCCCCCCCCGCCGCCCCCGGCGCCCCCCCCCCTCTGTTGCAATTTTGGATCCGACCATTCTGGCTCAAGTATTCTGGCTCCACAGAACCCTCTGCGTCGACGTCGTCTCCGCGGTGGGTCGACGCCCAGTGCGCAGGCTGCGCTGGCGCGCGCTGTCGGCCCTTCGGAACGCGCGCAGGCCCGCGGAGGCGCGCTCCCGCCTTTGCGGCGTGCGCGCGTGCGCGCGCGAGCGGGCTTTCAATCCCTTCGTTGTGCGTCGCGTCTTGCGCTAATCTGCGCGGTGCGGACGTGCGCGGTCGACTGCGCCGCTTCTTGCGCCGCGCGGCGACGAGAGGATGTGTTTTTTTGTTGTCGCCGCCGTTCGAGGCGCCCATCAATTCCTGGCCGCTGCTCTTGAGTTCTGACCGTTCCCAGCGAGGGTGCCCAGCCTCATAGCTGACTGTTGGCGGTCGCGCTTCGACGCGCGATGCGATTTTAGCGCGCCCTGAAAACCAGCGCCCGTTGCAATCCGATTCCATGCCTCGCTGTTTTTTTTCCAGCTTGGGCTTGCGTTCGCGCCTTGCCGTGCGCGGGCGGCCCTACTCGCGTGATCGCGTCGCTTTGGATGCGCGGCGCGGTTTTCATTATGGTTTTGCGACCCCAAGAACTTTCAGAAGTGCGCCTGGCGACCTGCAAATTTGCACAGCCAGTTGCCATCGCGCCGCGACTTCTGGCGATGCCATCGCCCTCGAACGTGCGCGCGCGCACGTGCGAGCCACTGGTTGTGGGTTAGCGCGCGCAGGCACGCGCATCGCGTTGGCTTGTGCAGTTTGCGTTCATCATGCGGTTGCGCGCTGTAGTGCCGCGTGGGGTTCGCGCGTGGTTGCGCGACCTCCAATGTGTCATTGAACGTAATGGCGCCTTTGATGTCGCTGTCGCAATGATACTTGCTCCAAGGTGTTTGTTCGATGTAGCACCGCTGCCGCTGTCTTTGGCGCAGCGGTTCCTCATCGCAACGTCGCGATTGGCAGGCAATTCGGTCCGCGCCCTTTCGCGCCAAACGCTGTGATCGCGGTGCCCATCGGGGCTTCAGTCTGCAGCGAGGAGCATCGCGCGGGCGCTCGCGTTTTTCGCGTTCAGTCAGCCGCGATTGGTCCAACGCTATACCGAGCATTTTGCGATTAAACGTTTAATTTTTTGAATTGCGTTTTGTCGTCAAAAGCTTCGCCAGTAGAATGGCACCACTGAAAATCGGATGTATCACAAAGCAGCCACTGAAAAAGGCGACAGCAACTTGCATAGATTCGACACCTTTCTCAACTCACAGAGCTTGAAACAGAATCGTTGTAATCGAACGATGGGACTGCGTAAGACCTCCGGCTCGCCAGCGCAGTGTGGAGCAGTGATAGCCTCGCCAAAAGGGCTGAAGAATAAGAACGCAGCCCAAAAGCCATAGAGGAACGGTTTGGTTTTGGAGATTCTTGTGATGGCCAGGTCAAGGTTCAGTAAAGCATTTACCACCATGGCGACCCCATAAAAAGTGTTCCAGGATTTCTCTAGCCGCGATACGAGTTCAGCGTGGTATTCATCCGAGCCAGGCATCGCCAGCAGAAAGATGTAGATGAAAGGCGTGAACAATGCCGAGGATGCTGAAGGGCTACACTTCACGATTTGCGACAGAGTACTCTTGGAGTCATCAAAAACCACTGGACTCATATCCCAGTCGGCGCAGACTCCTTTGTAAGTGTACCACTTCATGGCGACGGACGCTCGCTCGCTGAAGGTGCTGCCCCCCTTGGCCTTTGACCTGGCTGTTTCAGCCGCCCTCCCGACGAAGGGCTCCCATGCTGCCGTCTGCTGCAACGCGACGTGAGCATGTAGTCGACCGTTCTCGTCACACGGCCTTCCCACAAGTCATTCTTCACTCGCCTGATGCAGCGGTCGTTACCAAACGCACGAGGGAGGGGGGAGCGTTGAGGTAACGACCGTTACAGGCACGCGAGTGAAGAATTTCTCTGCCCCCCTCCTAGCAGGCACAGTAGGACCCTCCACTCCACGGTAGAAACTTTCTATGCGCATTTCGTCGCGTGCCAAGAAAGCTTGTGCTGTGCTGAGAAGTTCCTTGCCTATGTCGGTGTTCGCCGCCTCTTGCGCAGCTGACTCTGCCCTCTCGCAAGCGCCGGCGTAGTAGCAGTAGTAGCAGTAGTAGTAGCAGTAGCAGTAGCAGTAGCAGTAGTAGTAGTAGTAGTAGTAGTAGTAGTAGTAGTAGCAGTATTTGTAGAGGCCTCTGTGAAACGTCCCGGGACCTCTGTGGATCAGGTCAGCACAAGTCAGCGCAAGTCAGCGCAGGTCAGCGCAGGTCCTCACAGAACGACGCAGGACGGCACGGGTCTCGGACAGGGAGGACAGGGCACAATCTGAGCTGCGCTGACCTGCGCTGACCTGCGCTGACCTGCGCTGACTGGCCTGACCTGCGCTGACCTGCGCTGACCTGCGCTGACCTGCGCTGACTGGCCTGACCTGCGCTGACCCCGTTGACCTGCGCTGACCTGCGCTGACCCGCGCTGACCTGTGCTGTCCTGCGCTGACCAGCGCTTCTGAGGAGCGCGTGACCTGCGCTGACCTGCGCTGATCTGCGCGGATCCGCGCTGACCTGCGCTGACCTGCGCTGACCCGCGCCGGTAACATCTCCGGGTTGAATGCGAACACCCTGTGGTTTTGGACGATCAATCGATTCGGCCCAACTGAGTCTGGCCGCCTGGCCTTCTTGCAGGCGACCAGGGACGCGCCTTTCGCTCGCGCCCAGGAGTGCCATGCTTTTCGCGCATCGGCCACATGCCGGGCCGTGTGCTTGCTGTGTTTTTCCCATAGTTGGGGTTCGTTTCGGAGACCTTCCCCCGCCCAACGGGGCTGTTCGATTTTTGTCCAATTCTAACCCGATTTGAGTTAGAAACAAATCGACGGACGCTCGGCGCAGCATCGGAGCACGAGCGGAGCGAGTTGCTCCAGGAGGACCCCCAAAACGAGCACATTGCTATTCCGATCCGAGCTTGAGCGACGGAAAACACAAGTTCGACTGCGCGGACATTCTGGCCTGAACTTCCCGCGTAAGATCGCGCGCAAGCGCCCTGTTCTCCGAGCGGTGTGCCACGCCGGCGGCGCGCGTAAGCCACGGCGTGCGGTCGCCACGTCGTCTCGCGTAGGAGTTGTTTCTTTTCGTCGCTTCCCTACCCAGGCGATGAGCAGGACGAGCAGCTGGTGGAGCGTGCGGACGTCGAGCCCGAGGACGCCGAGTGCGCGTGGCGCGTCTCCTTCACTCCGCGCGAGTCCCGCGCCTACGACTTGCACGTGCGCGCGCTCTGGGTAAACGCCACCGCCGAGCCGGCCTACGGCACGTGCGACGACGTCGCCGGCAAAGGTTGGTGCTTGTCTGGCAGGCGGTTGGTGCAGCGAGATCGGGTGTTGCCAAAGATGTCCCGAGACCTCCGATGATATGTTTCTGGGCGTTTTTATTGGAATTCGGCTTCTGCAGGGGACCTACCTTTTTTTGGCCCCAGGACCATACAACAACAAGACTGGGGCGCAGACTTGACCCCAGGAAAGGGGTCGGAGCCCGTGGGGCAGCGCATTGAATTCAACAAATCATACCGGCGGGTATCGGGGTCCCTGGAGGCCAGAAGCGGTCCAAAGCAGCGCGAAACGTTGGGGACTTCTTAGGTCGGGACCACTTCTGGCAACACCCGGCGAGAGGGGGCCTATCAGGCGGGCCAGGAGATCGGGGGGCGTCGATTGGCCGCCTCACCATCGACTAAAGGTAGGAGTGACCCTTCGCCGCGATGCGATCGGTGCTTGCCTCTGAAAAAAGACGCGCGCCAAAGGTCAATCTTACCGAGGTTCCTCCTTGCGTGTAGCCGAAACCAAGACGATAGGGGCCCAAGATCGGTGAGAATGTTCCTCTTGGCCAGGCCAGGTATCGGTGGACCCCAAAAAGGTGCGGTGGCCACAGCGTGCGTCGAATCAGAAACAAAAAATGTGGACCATAAATTATTGGAGCTCCGTACGGATTTCTTGCATCTGCGCTGGGTCTCCCCTGATGGCGCCTCCAGCGCCGCCCCCAGCGCGCTCCGCGCGACAGGGAGGGGGCTCCGGCGCCGATTCGAGAAATCCGCGCGGCAGCCCGAACATTCCTGTGTGTGCTCTTTTGTGCTTGCTCTTCTGCGCAGGCGGTGTGGTGACCACGCCGTGTGGTGAGTCCGCGGGGAGCTGGGGTGACCGCAGGGTGTTGGAGCAATCGGGCCGTTCTCCGAGGACCCCTCGGGCCGTGCGGGGGCCTCGGGTGGTCACTGGAGCCGTGCGGCGGCGGGCCCGTGCGGTGAGGCCTTTGGGGATGCCGAGGCCTCACCGCACGGTCCGTCACCGCACCGTTTCGGGACCACCAGCAGGCAGGCGCACAGCCAGACCGAGGTGTAAGCTCGAGGCCGGTTCGGGGAGGGTGCTCCAGTGTTCTTCGTGCTTGCTGCGCGTGCTTGAGCACCCTGAGGGAGGGTTTTCCTCGAACAGTGTCCGGTTGTGCCGGCAGAGGGTTCCATGTTCCTTAAGGATGCTCTTCTGTCCTGGGGCCGTCCGTGTGCACACCGATCACGGGCCCAGGATCGGATTGGTCAGGCTCGGCGCAGTGGTCAGGCCATCGCCGCTCCACGCGAGGGCAGCCCCCTCGCCGGAGGGACCTCTCGTGCGCGGCTGTCGAGGGGCGCGGGGCGCCGCACCCAGGCACGCACGAGGCATCGCACGCAGCGATGGGCAGGCCGCGCTCCAGAGGTCACTCTTGCCAATACCCCCCTGGGAAGTGAGTCCAGCCTTTTTTTTGTTTTCAATTTCTTGCCCCCGTGCCCTGGACCTTCGATTGCATTGTCGAGTCAGCCGCCGCAGACGGCGGACAAAAAATCGTACCGCGCGGTGCCCCGCGCGGCGCGGGGAGACGGACCGCGCCCGAGAGTTGCGTCACCTTTCCGGGGCATTGTGGGGCCATTCGCGCGTGGAGCCGAAGTTGGCGTCCCTTCGCAAGGAGGAGGTGAACCTCACGGGCTCGCCCCAGCCGGTGAAGTTCTGTTGCGACCTCTGCGCGGGCGACGAACGCTGCCACGCCTGGAGCCTGCAGCAGCCGCCGGGGGGCGGCGCCGCATGCACGCTGCTGGGGCCCGGCAGCAGCAGGGCGCCAGGGAACTGCACGTCCGGCGTCCCGCGGAGCGACGCAGACTCGTGGAGGCACCCTGATCGGGGAAGCGCACACACGGATTGATCGGGGCCAGGGACCCAAAGATCCAGCGTATTGAAGAGATCAAGACGGAGGTTTTTCGCAAACTTCGGCACCTTGGGGCCCTCGCCTGGCCTCGGGAGCGTCAAAAAACGACTCAGGATGAAAAACCGGTCCTGGGGAATGTGTCTGGACTTCCGAGGACCGTGCATTGAAAAAACCACGACATCGGATCTCTGGGAACACGTATGTCCGCCACATGCTCGATCGGGGCCAGGATTGGTCGGGGCCCGGATTGATCGGGGCCATGGCATGATGCCGACCCGAACACCGTGTTCTTTCCCAACCATCCTGTGGTGGTGGGCCCTCGTTTTTCCCAACCATCCTGTGGTGTTGGGTCCTCGTTTTGAAGAGACAGCGCCCCGCGTCTCCTCACCTCCCGCTGCCCTCCTCCCTCCTCCCCCTCCTCCCTCCTCCCTCCTCCATTTCGGCACACCCCTCACACGTTTCGTGGCCCCATAGGAGCTCCACCGAAGGCCCCAGTGCTGCCGCCCGCATGCGTCACCCACACCCAATTCGGCACACCCCTCACACGCTTCGTGGCCCCATAGGAGCTCCGCCGAAGATTGATCGGGGCCATGGCATGATGCCGACCCGAACACCGTGTTCTTTCCCAACCATCCTGTGGTGGTGGGCCCTCGTTTTTCCCAACCATCCTGTGGTGTTGGGTCCTCGTTTTGAAGAGACAGCGCCCCGCGTCTCCTCACCTCCCGCTGCCCTCCTCCCTCCTCCCCCTCCTCCCTCCTCCCTCCTCCATTTCGGCACACCCCTCACACGTTTCGTGGCCCCATAGGAGCTCCACCGAAGGCCCCAGTGCTGCCGCCCGCATGCGTCACCCACACCCAATTCGGCACACCCCTCACACGCTTCGTGGCCCCATAGGAGCTCCGCCGAAGGCGCCCCAGTGCTGCCGCCCGCATGCGTCACCCACACCCAATTCGGCACACCCCTCACACGTTTCGTGGCCCCATAGGAGCTCCGCCGAAGGCCCCAGTGCTGCCGCCCGCATGCGTCACCCACACCCAATTCGGCACACCCCTCACACGTTTCGTGGCCCCATAGGAGCTCCGCCGAAGGCCCCAGTGCTGCCGCCCGCATGCGTCACCCACACCCAATTCGGCACACCCCTCACACGTTTCGTGGCCCCATAGGAGCTCCGCCGAAGGCCCCAGTGCTGCCGCCCGCATGCGTCACCGCACACCCAATTCGGCACACCCCTCACACGTTTCGTGGCCCCATATGGAGCTCCGCCGAAGGCCCCAGTGCTGCCGCCCGCATGCGTCACCCACACCCAATTCGGCACACCCCTCACACGTTTCGTGGCCCCATAGGAGCTCCGCCGAAGGCCCCAGTGCTGCCGCCCGCATGCGTCCGCACACCCAATTCGGCACACCCCTCACACGTTTCGTGGCCCCATAGGAGCTCCACCGAAGGCCCCAGTGCTGCCGCCCGCATGCGTCACCACACCCAATTCGGCACACCCCCACCTTCGTGGCCCCATCTGAGCTCCGCCGAAGGCCCCAGTGCTGCCGCCCGCATGCGTCAATTCGGCACACCCCTCACACGTTTCGTGGCCCCATAGGAGCTCCGCCGAAGGCCCCAGTGCTGCCGCCCGCATGCGTCACCCACCCCCAATTCGGCACACCCCTCACACGTTTCGTGGCCCCATAGGAGCTCCGCCGAAGGCCCCAGTGCTGCCGCCCGCATGCGTCACGCACAGCCAACTCGGAGCTCCGCCGAAGACCCCAGTGCTGCCGCCCGCATGCGTCACTCACACCCAATCCGGTACACCCCTCACACGTTTCGGTGCCCCATAGGAGCTCCGCCGAAGGCCCCAGTGCTGCCGCCCGCATGCGTCACGCACACCCAAGTCGGCACACCCCTCACACGTTTCGTGGCCCCATAGGGAGCTCCGCCGAAGGCCCCAGTGCTGCCGCCCGCATGCGTCCCGCACACCCTATGCGGCACACCCCTCACACGTTTCGTGGTCCCATAGGGAACTCAACCGAAGGCCCCAGTGCTGCCGCCCGCATGCGTCACGCACACCCATTTCGGCACACCCCTCACGCGTTTCGTGGCCCCATAGGGAGCTCCACCGAAGGCCCCAGTGGGTGTGCCCGCATGCGTCACGCACACCCAATCCGGCACACCCCTCACACGTTTCGTGACCCCTCACACATTTCGTGGTCCCATAGGGAGCTCCACCGAAGGCCCCAGTGGGTGTGCCCGCATGCGTCCCGCACACCCATTTCGGCACACCCCTCGCACGTTTCGTGGCCCCGTAGGGGGCTCCACCAAAGGCCCCAGTGTTGCCGCCCGCATGTGTCCCCCACACCCATGTCGGCATACCCTTCACACGTTTCGTGGCCCCATAGGGAGCTCCGCCGAAGGCCCCAGTGGGTGTGCCGGCATGCGTCCCGCACACCCATTTCGGCACACTCTTCACACGTTTCGTGACCCCTCACACGTTTTGTGGTCCCATAGGGAGCTCCACCGAAGGCCCCAATGGGTGTGCCCGCATGCGTCCCGCACACCCATTTCGGCACACCCCTCGTACGTTTCGTGGCCCCGTAGGGGGCTCCACCGAAGGTCCCAGCGGGTGTGCCCGCATGCGTCTCGCACACCCATTTCGGCACACCCCTTACACGTTTCGTGGGCCCATTCGTGGCCCCGTAGGGGGCTCCACCGAAGGTCCCAGCGGGTGTGCCCGCATGCGTCCCGCACCCATTTCGGCACACCCCTCACACGCTTCGTGGGCCCATAGGGAGCTCCACCGAAGGTCTCAGTGGGTGTGCCCGCATGCGTCCCGCACACCCATTTCGGCACACCCCTCACACGTTTCGTGGCCCCATAGGGAGCGCCACCGAAAAAGATATTCACAATTGCGGTACTCACAATTGCATATGGTTGGGTCCTTCGCCAGGACAATTAAGAGACAGCGCCCCGCGTCCCTCACTCCTCCCCCTCCTCCTACCCCTCCTCCCTCTCCCCTGCGTTTCACCCACCCAGTACAGCGTTTCGTGGCCCCATAGAGAGCTCCACCGAAGGCCCCAGGATACCGCCCGCATGCGTCACGCACATCCAATTCGGCACACCCCTCACACGTTTCGTGGCCCCAGAGGGAGCTCCACCGATGGCTCCAGTGCCAACACCCGCATGCGTCCCGCACACCCTAATCGGCACACGTCTCACACGTTTCGTGGCCCATAGAGAGCTCCACCGAAGGCCCCAGTGCCACTGCCCGCATGCGTCACGCGCACCCATTTCGGCACAGCCCTCACACGTTTCGTGACCCCACAGGTAGTTCCACCGAAGGCCCCAGTGCCACCGCCCGCATGCGTCACGCACACCCAATTTTGCACACCCCTCATACGTTTCGTGGCCCCACAGGTAGCTCCACCGAAGGCCCCAGTGCCACCGCCTGCATGCGTCACGCGCGCACACGTTTCGTGGCCCCAGAGGGAGCTTCACTGAAGGCGCCAGTGGCTGCGTTCGCATGCGCCCACCGCACCCATTTCGGCACACCCATCACACGTTTTATCGGCACCATAGCGAGCTCCACCGACGGCCCCAATGGCTGTGCTCGCATTCGCCCACCGCACCTATTTCGGCACACCCCTCACGCGTTTCGTGGCCCCATAGGGGATTTCACCGACAGCCCCAGTGGCTGCTTTCGCGTGGGCCCACCACACAAACTTTGGCACACCCCTCACACGTTTCGTGGCCCTATAGGGAGTTCCTCCGAATGCGGCGCATACAAAACGGCACTCACAAGTGCATATGCTTGAGTCTTTCGCCAGGCTAATTGTGTCAACGCCTGTCGCCTGGAGAACTGGCCGGATAATGTTTGACTGCGCATACGTTGTTTTGTGGCGTTTTTGCGGGGCTCCATGAGACAGGGCTCAGATGCTGTAGGCCCCTCAAATGGGGTCGGAGTAGATCAGGTCGGAGGATCGCACCGCATCGCCGATGCATTGGCGATGCGGATCGATGCGAAGCCCGATTTTCTCCACGCCGACGTCGCCGAGGCACCGCCCACGTCGCCGAGGCATCGCCCGTGCTTCGCGATGCATCGGCTATGCGGCGCGACCCTCCGACCCCATTTACTCCGACCCCATCTAGGAGGCCTCTAGATACCTGGAGACGGTTCCCATTTGAGGCGCATGTCGATACACGCGCGGTGTCTACTGGAGGCGTGCGGATTCGCGACGGGTCCCGTTCCCACACAGAACCGGCGCGCGCGGTCGCATGCGCAGTGCCCATAAGAGCAAGAACGCAGCTGAGCACAGGAGGGCGTGCAGGCAGCTTCGGAGCTCGGACATGGAGAAGCAAGGTGCGGACGACGCTGCAAAGCTCTAGGAGAACAGAGCATTGACAGCGCGAGCACCAAGAGTGCAGGTGGCAGGGCAGCCCGCGCGCCGTGCCCACGAGCGTTGCTCCACCCCGGCGGGTGTGGGCAGGGGACGCGCTAAATGCACACAGGGCATACAGGGCACGTCCCTCTACGGGAGGAATATTCAATTATCCCAGTGCGACCCTACCTAGGAGTTGGAGCACCTAGGAAAGCAACATCTACATCTAAACCGACAGCTGCATTAACATCTACACCTGCATCTACATCTACATCAACATCAACAGCGAGACTCACATCTACACCTACATCTACACCTACACCTACATCTACATCTACATCTAGAAATACACCTACATCCACATCTTCACCTACATCTACATCTACATCTACACTGTCGCATTGGTTTTGCTTATATGCTATGATGTGCTGTGCGATGCTATGATATGATACGCTATGCTATGATATGCTCTGTTATGCTATGCTATGATATGCGATGATATGATATGATATTATATGATATGCTGCGTTATGGTATGCTAAGCTATGCTATGCCATGCTATGCTACGCTATGCTGCGCTGCGCTATGCGATGCTGCGCTATGCTATGATATGCTACGCTATGCTATGCTATGCTAGTGCTGCGCTAAGCGAAACTGAGCGAAGCTAAGCTAGGCTAGGCTAAGCTAAGCTAAGGCTAGGCTAGGTTGAACGCTAAGCTAAGCTAGCAAAAGCTAAATTGAGCTAGGCTAAGCTAAGATGAGATAAGCAAAGCTAAGCTAAGGGGGCGCAACTGGGGGAACCGCGGGGCGGATGTCGGGGGAACCGCCTGGGGCGTGGAACACTGCCCGGCCCTTTAAGCTCACCGAGTAAGAACCCTTCTAGGCAGAGCTTAGGTAGGGAAAAACTGTCAAAGAGTAGTCTGGGGGCGATTTCTTTTGAATGTCTGCATGTTTTTCCATACTTTCTGTTTCGATTAAAATCCGCCTGTTGGGGGGCACGCCCGACCTAACGTTGGCGTGTGCCCGTTCCTCGAGGAAGGAAGACGGGCACCCCGCGAGAGCGGAAGACCGGCGCAGATCGGGAGATGAGCTGGGCCCCAGATCTCCGATGGCATGGTCTGTTCAATCCGGGAGCGTTGCCTCGACGTCGGATCTCGCCCCTGCCCCAAATGCCCCGGGGGTGCGTTCTCGGGCTCCAGGGCCACAGAAAAGGAATCCGGGGTCACAGGCTGCCCCCTGGGCGGGGAATGGGTCGGCACCTCTGGAGGATCACCCTCTATAGGCCTCCCAGATGGGTCCGGGAGATCGCGCCGCATCGCCGATGCATCGGTGATGCGGCTCGGTGTGGGCCCAAATTTCTCCACGCCGACGTCACGGATGTATCGCCAACGTCGCCAGTGCATGGCCGATGCATCGCCGATGCATCGCCGATGTATCGGCGATGCGGCGAGACCCTCCGACCCCACCTGCTCGGACCCCATCCAGGACTATGATGTTCCAACTTGTTTTAGCTTTGGCCACCAGAAAGACTTTCGAGCACCAAGAAAGTACCAAAACTGAAGGGTTTTCGCGTGTCGGGAACTGGGAGGCGATACTCGCTCGACACTGTTTCGATAGGTCCCCCCCTTCTTACCACCGAGTGTTCCCTGGCCAATACAGGTTTGGTCAGGGAAGAGAGGCGGCAAGGCCGAACTTTATAATCACGGGGGAAACTTGCGAATAGAAGTTGTTCTTCTTATGTTGCGTAGCAAGGATTCCCAACGCTTGCGAATTGTTGTATCCCCGCTGTCTTTTTAATCCCCGCCAATGAGCCACCATGGAAACATGCGCCATTGAAAATGGTAAATGGTTGAGTTTTACGAATAACCAAGCTCAGGTCCCGAATCGAAGCTTTTTTGGACAACCGGTCCTGGGTCTCATCCTCCTCCTCCGAAGGATTTCCCTAATGATTCCTGAACATGTCCTACGTCAAGGTATTGATTCCTCAGGGAAACCTATGAATGTCCTTTGGAAATCTTAGGATTTCTGTGGGAACCCGATGGATATCCTAAGGAGTCCTATGGATTCCCATCGGATTCCTATGGGTTTCCGAAGGACTCCCATGGATTTGTTCATTAGTCTCATGGGCGTTGAGGATCATCTCGATCATCATTATCGTCATCATCTTCATCATTATGCTGAGTTTCCGGGAAGCGTTTATCATCCCGCCTTGACCCCGAACTTTAGAATCCCCAGGGGGGTATTCTCGCGGGCACAGGGCTGATTCTTCCATTCCGGGCGCTCTTCCTCGAGTTCTCGCCCCCCTTTGGGGGCGGCCGTCGGGTCCCGCGCGGCCGCCCGGAGTGGATCTGGGGTCAAGAGACATGCAGTCTGGGAGTGGGCCGGGACCTCCAGGGCCGCGCACGGAAAAGAGTCCCATCACCGGAGGTCAGTCAGGAGGAGGAGGAGGAGGAGGAGGAGGAGGAGGAACAGGGGGAGGAACAGGGGGGGGAGGAGGAGGAGGAGGAGGAGGAGGAGGAGGAGGAGGAGGAGGAGGAGGAAGAGGAAGAAGAAGATAGGGTGTCGATCCCGCTGCCCTTCCTGGAGAGCTCTCGTTGCCACGGATGGCTCGGTCCCGAGGCTCTGGTCCGAGCGCACCCCGGAAGAGGTCCGTGGGGTAACGGTGTGGGTACGCGCTTGTCCCCCCTGGGCTTGGGGGAAACGTAAGGTTCGAGTAAGTTGGAACTCGGGGTCGCATATGTCTTTTGACGAGCCCGTCCTGAATTTTGACGCTCCAGTTTTCGTGGGATGTTTGCAGCGGGAGCCCCCGTCAAATTTCAGACGCGATCGCGCCATTTCTACGATGGCCCCGCCAGGCCAGCCCGAGTCCCCCATACCCCGAGTCTTACGTCACCCCGACAAGAGAAGTCTTTAAGGGCTTGGGCGGATTTCTTGGATCGGCGCTGGACCCGGCTTCGGGCGCCTCTGGCGCCGCCCCTGGCGCGCTCCGCGCGACAGACGAACAAAAAGGCCCAGCGCCGAGCCAGGACGGCTGGTGGCAGGCCTCTTTGCGCGCCCGTGGTGGCGCGCAGACTTGTCTCCCCTCCTCGGTACCTCGGCGGCTGGAGCATCCTGCAGACGTCCGTCAAGGACGAGCTGCGCCACGCGCAGTCCCACGTCTCGGGTGCTGCCGGTGGCGGCCCGGGGCGCCCCGAGCTCTCGGCTCTCTGGGCCACTCTGGGGCCCCACAAGGGGCCCCCTGTGGGCCTCGCGAGGGCTCCGCGGAGGCCCTCCGGGGCCCCCCGCCCAGACCCTCGACGCAGTGGTTGGCGTTCCAGGGCTCGAGCTAGCACTGACCGTGTTCGGTTTGATGTCGGTTCGCCTCGTCCACGTGCTGTGTCGAGGAGCCGCGGTGATGCCCGTGCTCCTCGCACCGTTCGCCCGTGCTGCCTGCATGGCCCGCACCGCTCCATCCATCAGAGCATATGACATCTCGTTTGAGAGTTTACCTTCCGGTCCGCCTCTGTGGATCATCCGGCTATCCTGGAGCAACGCCGTTCGGGAGAAGTGCGCCAGGAAATCTAGTGGTGCAAGCTGTCGTGTCCAGCAGGCAATTTTCGTGGTGATCTGACGCCAACGAACCATAGCAACGACCCCCGGAAATGTCGCACTGGGCTGGGAAACAGGTGCCGGCGTTTAGCAGAAGCCCTGTTGTTTCCAACGTGGGCCCCATGGAGGTCTCGACCCATTCCCTGGGACCAGCTCATCATCCAGAGTGTTTTTTCTCCAGCCCCAGGGCCCGATGAGGGCCACCACGGGGGCAGAGCATCGGCGAGAATTTCCCGCTGTGATTTTTGCCACGACGCGATGGGGGCCCAGCATGGACAGCCTGGGGCCGTTGTTTCGGTGGGGTTCCCCTCTGGGGCCACGAAGCGTGTGAGGGGTGTGCTGAAACGGGCGAGGCCCCCTCCCGTGGGTGATTCGAGGGGCCTCAGGCGGAGCTCCCTCACTGGGGCCACGAGATGCTCGAGGGGTGCGCCGACACGGGCGTGGCGCCCTGGTCTATTCGTTTGCCGCCCTTGGCAGCGCCCGAACCCTTCGAGTAGGGGATCGACTACAGAATTGATTTACCCCTTATTCGCCCGTCGAATCTATGAAACATGCATCGAATGGTCAGCAGATCTGCGGAGCATTCTACGCATGTTCTACAGATTCAGCGAAAAGCAAGGTTCGGAGGCAACTACTGGGAGATCTTCGCCAGAAGGATCAAGGCGAAGTAGTCCCCATTGGGGGGCTACTACGCCAGATTAGGTAGCGGATTAAGCACGACCAAGCCGGATTAAGCCAGATCGAGCGGGATGAAGCCCGATTAAGCCAGAGATTGAGCGGGACGAGTCGGGATTAGGCCAGCTGAAACCAGATTTTGGGACCAGGACAGATGGAGAATTGGACCCCCCACAGGAGTTGCATCCGAAACGATGTTGGGGCAAATCGATTGTGCTAGGGGAACGAGCAATGACGTGAACATAAAAAAACACGGAGATCCGCGCGGATTGCTCGGATCGGCGCTGGAGACCCCTGGCGGCGCCTCGCCGCCCCCGGCGCGCCCCGCGCTCCAGGGAGGGGGGTCCAGCGCGGATCCGAGCAATCCGCGCGGAGCCCCGCGTTGTTCTGTATATACATGCCATTCTTCGCTCCCCCTCGGGTGTCAGCCGATCCCCCGCTCGAGCCTTCTGGGGCAGCCCCGCGGCCCTGGGCACCCCGCGGCCCGCCGAGGGCGGCGGGCCTGCGGGGGCCGAGGCCGCCTGCGGCGCCGGCGGCCCGGGGCCCGGCGCGTGCGAGTACGGCAGGCGCCCCGGGCGGTGGCGCTTCGCCGGCCGCGCGCCCAACTGGACGGCCGACTGGGAGCCTGGCGCGGGCTGCACGAACGAGATTCGGGCCGGACGAAAGGGGGGGATTGGGAAAGGGGGGTGTACGAAATCTGCTGCACGCAGCTGGTTTCGGCCCCACCGAGGGGCCCATTCCTCGATACATGGCCGCCTCCGGCGCCGCCGGGAGGCGCCGGGAAAATCAGCTACGTGACACAGTGAGCTGATTCTCAAACCTCTTCTTTTCTATCCCCCCTTTCGCCCGGCCCGAGAAATGGGTACGTAAAGAATGGGTACAATGGCCAACAGCAGTTCCTGTTCATTTTGAACAGGACTCGCTGTCCACGCCGCCGCGGCCTGTGTCCATTCGAGACAGAAGGCCGCCTGCCCAACAGCGGCCGCTGTTGGTTTGGGACAACATTTGTTGTTGGGCATTGTACCCATTCTTTCCGTACCCATTTCGGGCGTCCGAAACGCGGGCTGCCGTCGCAGCCCTGCGACGGGAGCCCCAGGGGAAGGAAGAATGGCACAGGCAGGAAAACGCGGAGGTCCGCTTGGATTGCTCGGATCCGCGCTGGAGCCCCCTCCCTGGCGCGCGGAGCGCGCCGGGGGCGGCGCCGGAGGCGCCGCCAGGTTGGCTCCAGCGCGGATCCGAGAAATCCGCGCGGACCTCCAAGTTTGTATGTTTATGTCATTGTTCGTTTCCCCAGGACTGCCGTCGCAGGGCTCATTTCGATTCCTCCGATTCGATTCGAGTCGAATTCGATGGCTTCCGATGCCGATTCGATGCGACTTGGGATTCCGATCTGGGCCTCGATGTGCCAGGGGAGGCCCAGTGGCCTGCCGATTTCCGCCGATTCGACTTTTCACGGCTCGGCTGCCGATGTTCTCCAATCCGATTTATTTCGATTGTCGATCCGACTTCTCGATTCGATTCTGGGCTCTCCTGCCAGGCGCGGGCTGCCATCGGCCACGCGCAGAGTGGCGTATATAGGGGTGCAGGAGGGGAGGCTTCTCAGAAGGACCCCCATGCTTCTGAGAAATCGCGGGCCTTCTCTGTAGATGTAGGGCTGGCGCCTGCTTAGAAGCAGGGTCCAAGGAAGCCTCCCCCCTCCCTATACCCCCCTTGCGCGCGCCGTCAATGTCAGGTGGCAGTCCGACAAGCTCGCACCGTGCAGAAATCACGACGTTTTTTTTTTTTGGTTTGTTGCCATTTTCGGCCTCCGGGGGGCCTCGTCGCGCCTCGGGACCGTCCAAGAACGGCTCGGAATGAAAGACCCGCCTTGGGGAAAGGGTCGGGACTTTGAAGGAACGTTTTAAACACATCAAGACGTCGCCCGTCTGGGGTTCTTCTTTAGATTCTTGCGAGCTCACTTGCATGGAAGGCGGGGGGGGGCGTGGTGGGGCCCGAAACGAGATCTGGATTTCCGCAAGTCGGAGCTGGGGGGGTGTGGATCTCATGGTTGGGGCCAAGATATCTCCCCAGGTTTCACGGCGCCTCGTCTCATTTCGTTACGTCCCTGCTCCCCCCCCCCCGTGGGCCGTGCACGCGCCGCTGGCCATGATTTGCGCCCCCCTCGTGGCCGCCCCCGAAGAGGGGGCGGGGGGGGGGAATGCCGTGCAAGCAAGCGTGCCCGAGTCGAGAGAAGACGACCGCCAGAGGAGCCCAGACCTCCGACAGTCTGATTCTTGCTCAGCCCGCGTCGGCTCCTCCTCTTCTTCCACCTCCTCCTCCTCGTCCTCCTCCTCCTCCGTCGGCGAGGGGGACGTGGGATCGGGGGCGGCCAAGAGGGGGATAGTGACTAGGGAGGGGTGGACATGGCGTGGGCCACGATGTTTCCTCAGAGTTCATGGCGCCTTTTCTTGTCTCGTTGCGTCTCTGGCTCCCCCCCTGGGCCGCGCACATGCCGCTGGCCATGATTTGGCACCCCCTCTTAGACGCCCCCCTCTTGGCCGCTGCCGATGAGAAGGAGAAGGCCTTCTCAGAAGGTCTGGAAGTTCCCGGGCCTTCTTGAGAAGTGTGTTTCAGCAAGCTTTCCCCGGAGACAGGCAGAAGACTTCTCAGGAGGCGCGAGGGCGTCTGAGAGGCCGCGCTGCCTTCTGACACGAGAGGAAAAACCACCCGGACTAGACAATTGGCGTATATTAAATGGCCTTGGGCGTTTACTAAAACTAAACAGCCCCGCCCTGTTCGATTCCTTCTTTGGGTGCGTCTGCTGAACGGCCTCGCGTGTCGGGGTGGTTGTTATGAGGGTTTTTTGGGGGGCTTCTATTCTGAGAGGGCCCTCCCCCCTTCGCTCGCCGCCGACGCGGGCCCCCGGAGCATCGAGCGTGCATCTCGGGGAGGGAAAACTGCTGCCGAGGAAGCGGTCGAGACCTCCTGGGGTTACGTCGGGCCTGTCCACACGCAGGAGGAATATCCCCCAAAAACATTTCAAACACAGTACGTGGACGATTTCTGGATCATCCCAAGCCACCTTGGGGTATGGTTTCACTGTTCTTGCTCTCCGTCCGAGGTCCGCCTGCAGGGGGCCGTGCCCGATCTGACTCTGGGGCCGCGGACCGGAGCAGTCCTCGCGGCGGGTGCCCGGCGGGACGGCAGGCCCGTGCGGGTGCCCCTCCCCCGCCGTCGTGCCCGGAGAGCCCGTGGCCCCTCGCCGCCACGCCTGGATATTCGCCGCGGGATCCCGGCCGGAGCGGGCCCCGGGAGAGAGAGGCCCTATGGGAGCGGCGGCATCGGCATCTTCTGGTTCCCCCCCCCCCCCCAGGAGCCCGATGCGGGCAAGCTCCCAGCGTACACGCGGGATGAAGTTGGGCGCTGTTGGCAGAGTCGGGGAATCACCAAGATAGCCATGACAGGGGATTCGCTCATTCGCGAGCAGTTCAATGGCCTCCGGTCCTATGTGGAGGAAAACTTCGAAGTGAAGAAGGTTAGCAATGCACATTTCTGGTGGCGACGCCCTGATGGCGTGGACGTGAGCGTTGAATTCATCGATTTCTTTTCATTCTTTCGCGAAATTAGTATGCTTCAGTACGCTTACTCAAGAGGCTTACGACATTCCGCCTACCCTCGAAGGGTAGACGGGGCAAATGACATTTGGCGACCTTCGTCCCAACCCGCCACCGTGGTTGTGGTGTGTGCCAGAAGCGTTTTGGCTGCATGTCGGGGGTTGTTGGTATGCCCCTGGGAGGCTGCATCTTTCCTGGATGCACCTTGTATGATTCAAGTGGTACCCAAGTGGTACCGCTTGGACCATAACGGTCTCTGCAGGCTTCAATCCCTCGTGCCGAGGTTGTGGGTCAGCGGCCTCTTAGCTGCCTCCTGGGGTCTCTTGTGGTGCTTACCCAAGTGGTACCACTTGGATGGTATCGATCTCTGCAGGCTTCAATCCCTCGTCCCGAGGTTGTGGGTCAGCGGCCTCTCAGATGCCACCTGGGGTCTCTAAGGGTGCTTCTTGGGGATTCGGGAAGAGTCACGCGACAAACCCGAGCGAGCCCCAAGCGCACAGGTCTCTGGGCTGGTAGATAGCTCCAAGGGACTTGAGGCCGTAATGGACGTGAGGGGGCACTTAACCTAGTGCTTCGGAGAACGGTGGCGGATATAGCCCGCATGGGTTGCGTGATGTTCTCACGCGGCCAATCACGGAACCGTCTTTGAGGGAAACATCGGTTTCCTGGAGGCATCGGGGGCTGGATTTGGAGGCTCTGGGTCCCCAGAGGGTGTGTTGAGGAGCTCGCAGGCCGGACTCCATTCTCCTGTTTGGGATACCCGGGGGTCCCCGCGGAGGGGGAGCAGGGAGAAGGTATGGCAAATCATCTAACACCTCGGCAATGCCCCAGGGGACCCGAGGTTTGAGCTTCGAGCATCAAGGGTCGAAGAGATGTTTGAAGGTTGTGAGCTGTTCGAGAGGTTCTGAGGAGGCTTGAGGATCCTGAGGTGTCGTCCTCCTTGGGGAGGTGGCAACCCCTGCAGTCGTGACCACTCTCTTGCCGGTGCTTGGAACACGCCTTGTCACCCCCAGCAAAGGGGGGTCGGCGGATTCTTGGCGACGGAAGATTTCGTTTACCATCAACGACGCGCTCAACGCGCAGGTGTTGATTACAAACTTCAACGCAGTCTGGCAGTTGTGGTTTGAGTCGGATTGCGTCATCGAGCGGCGGCTTCATCGATTCGTGGACGCGGTGCAAGCTTTAGCGCAGAAGTCTCAGCAGCGTGTGTTTATCTCGGGGGTGTACACACACAGTCTGAGGCAGAGCTATATATCCAAGCGCTTTGCGCAAGTCTGCTGGCTCAGGAGCGGGTGGGTGGTTGAGTTAGTAGCTGCACTGGCCCCTGTGCTCAGGAGGCTGGGCGTGGGTCCGAGGGCCGCTGTGTGCTTCTGACCCGGGTGCCGCTTCAACGGGGAGCGCAGCGCGGCGGGCACGAGAAAGGCAAAGCCAGAGCCAAACGCTATCGCTTACACTGGTCCAGCGTTACCATCTCTAGCTGTTGTTAGGCCGCTTGGGTGCCTGGTTGGAGCATCTGGGGGGCAATCTTGGGTCTCTCTGTCTCTCTCTCTCTCTCTCTCTCTCGTTGGGCCCAATTTCAGAACGTCTGGAGGAGAAGACGTCCGTATTGGAGCAATCAGGCGTAACCTGAACCCGGCGAGCACAGCACCCCACGTACAATGTAGTGTCGACCCGCTTGTGTGCTAACAAGTTCGGGGGTTGTGGGTTGGGGGTGGGTCTGTGTACCGAACCTGATAAGGTACGCCTTTGGAAAGGCGCATGAAGCAACTCAATTAGAGTCGATACGCATATCAGGTAGCGGAGCGCATTGGGTATGCCAAGGCCAGTGGCGACATTAGACAGCAGCATGGTCGATGCACGTAACAATCAGTCAACCCGCATAATTAGGATGGGCAATTTCCCAAGGCTACCCTTGCACCCTTGCCCTTTCGGCCAATCCTTCGCGACTTTCGCTGGCCAATCTCGCTTGAAAAACACGAACATTGCCATCCAAGGTTGTTGCATCCTTACCGCGCACCCTTCTTACACGGATTGAGTGCAGCATTGTCACGCCCATTCGATATGCACATCGCGAAGCATGCATACTATTCTTGACGATCACGATGCTGAGTTCACAGGATCAGACATGCGACGCATACTGGCACCAGCATGGCACCAGGACGTGCAACATCGTGATCCCTGGCAGCGCACATGGCGCGGGGGCAGCGGCGGCGCTCCGCTCGTCTTTCCTGGAGGAGGTAAGGACTCGCGGAGCGGGGAAGGCAACCACCCTTTTCGGGGGTGGACAGAACCCCCAACAGTGACACGTCGATTAGTGAATTGTCCGTTTTCGGTTCTCGAGAGGGCGCCGCGGCCGTTATTTTCCAGGCTTGCGCCCGCCAGGTTTGGGCCTCAGGTCGTTTTCACTAAACCACGTTTTGCTAAAGGGAGGTCTGTCCATCCCCGACCTTTCAGAAGCACGCACGGTGTGAACATGCTGGCAGAGGTCCCGCGCGGCGTGGAGTGGGTTGGGGGTGCGCGGTCTCCGAGGCAACACTTGGTGTGAGGATCGCAGCGCTGCAGCGGTGTTCCCGCGCGGCGTCCCCAGAGGTTGGGGCTCGTTGAGGCTGCCCGGTCCACGAGAAAGCACAGGTGTTTCCTTGGAGGGGCAACCAGCATTGGTGCTTGGGCTCGTGCAGTGGAAGTACATGCATGAGCAGGTGATGTAGAATGAGAAGGAGGAAGGGAGGAGGAAAGAGAGGAGAGGAGGATGTTTTGCGAAAGCGAGAGCCCCATTCAGGACGTGGGGACATACATTGACCGTACAGGGGAAATGCACCCCGAAGGGAAACATAGCGTGGCAATTCAAATGATGTGAAGGAACATTCGAAGGAACAAGTAAGGCAATGTACATCACAGGGAAACCGAACGAACCATATTATGATCATATATCGAAGACGCCTACGGCGAATCATCGCCGCCCCCTGCCCTTTTGGAAGCGCCTCTGTGGCCGACAGCTGGGCGAGAGCTTGGCCAAGATTTCGGGCCAGTTGTTCCCCGAGTCGGTTTGGAAAGACTTCGGAGAACGCGTGGGGGAGCAAGAAGACGAGGAGGGGGAGGATGTGGAACAAAAAGAGGAGCAGCAGGAGGAGCAGGAGGAGGAGGAAGAGGAGGAGGAGGCCTCTTGGGCGCCTCTGGGGCCCCCCTGGGGACTCCTGGGAGCTTCCTGGGGGCCTCTTGGAGGGTTTTGGGGTGCCTTTGGGGGTTTCTTTGGTGCCTTTTTGGCCGTCTTAGGGAGTTCCTGTCTTGTCTGACGCCGTCGGAAGCCGTCTTGGGAGCCTGTCTGGGTCGTCGTGGAGCCCTCTTGGGGCATAGCAGTGGTTCTTAGAGGCCATCTTTGGCGTCTTGGAGGCCACTTGGGCCGTTTTGGGGCCCTGGGAGCCTTTTGGGCCGTCATGGGGCCATCTTGGAGGCCTCTTTGGCGATCTTTTGGGCCTCTTGCGCCGTCTTGAGCCGTCAGAATCCCGAGAAGAAGCAAATGCCACAATCTCGCAAAAACCTTAGGAACACCACTGATTTGGGCCTCGTCGTGCCCTCCTGGAAGACCTCCTGGACTCCTTTTAGGCAGTCTTGGAGGCCTCTTGGGGGCACCTTGGGCCGTCTTGGGCCATCTTGAGGCCACCTGAGGCCGTCTTGGGTGCATCTTGGGCCGTCTTGGAGGCATCTTGGGGCCATCTTCGCCGTCTTGGAGTCCATTTTGGCAGTCTTGGAAGCCCCTTGGGCCCTCTTGGGGCCATCTTGGGGGCCTCTTGGGCCGTCATGGGGCCATCTTGGCGGCCTCGTGGGCGACATTGGGGGCCTCTGGGGCCGTCTTGAGTCGTCGGAATGCCGAAACGAAGCACATGTCAAAATCCTTCAAGAACCCTATGACAATCAATAATTTTGGCCTCTTCGGGCCCTCCTGGAGGACCTCTTGGAGGCCTCGTGAGCCGTATTGGAGGCCTCTTGGGGGCCTCTTGGGCCGTCTTAGGCCATTTGGAGGCCAGCTGAGACCGTCTTGGGTGCTCTTGGGCCGTGTTGAAGAGGCACCTTAGGGCCATCTCAGCCGTCTTGGAGGCCATCTTGGGTTTCTTGGAGGCCTCTTAGGCCGTCTTGGGGCCCTCTTGGGGCTGTCTTGGGGGCCTCTTGGGCCGTCATGTGGCCATCTTGGAGGCCTCGTGGGCGATCTTGGAGCGGTCGTGGGGGCCTCTTGGGCCGTCTTGAGCCGTGGGAAGGCCGAAAAGAAGCAGATGCCAACATCCTTCAAAAACCTCAGGAACATCAAAGATGTTTGTTGGCCTCTTCGGCCCCTTCTGGAGGACCTCTTGGAGGCCTCTTGGGCCGTCTTGGAGGCCTCTTGGGGGCCTCTTGGGCCGTCTTGAGGCCATCTGAGACCGTCTTGGGTGCATCTTGGGTCGTCTTGGAGGCATCTTGGGGCCATCTCAGCCGTCTTGGAGGCCATCTTGGGCGTCTTGGAGGCCTCTTGGGCCGTCTTGGGGCCCTCTTGGGGCTGTCTTTGGGGCCTCTTGGGCCGTCATGTGGCCATCTTGGAGGCCTCGTGGGCTGAGACCGTCTTGGGTGCATCTTGGGCCGTCTTGGAGGCATCTTGGGGCCATCCCAGCCGTCTTGGAGGCCATCTTGGGCCATCTTGGAGAATTTGTTGCGGACGTTGAGGTCGTTTGCGGGCCTGGAGCTCCCTCCCGGGACCCGGGCGGGACGCGCTGGAGCCCCAGGGGGAGTTCTTTTGGAAAAAGAACCAAAACCAAAACCGAAATCATCGAGCTCGCCAGGCACCCCTGCGATGAATCGACAGGAGGCGGCGGATCAGTAGCTTCCGGCCCATCCTGCCACCGTGCCGCCCCCCAGGTCCTCTCCGTGATGACACATTTCTGAAAACAAGAAGAGCATGTTTGGTTCATCATTGTTGACGTCTGGAAAAGTCACGCAGGGCGTCCCCAGGAGCGCGCAGAGCTCCAGGGCCTAGGCCTCTCAAGGCGCATTCGAGTACTGAATACACTCGAAGCGACTTGAGGACCCTCCACGCAGTGCCTCGTGGCACGGTGGCAGTTCAGGAACGTATCTAGCTAATCGTACCGGAAGCCGCAACCCATTAGACTAATGTATTGAATCAGCCCATCTCACTCACGTTCAACACCCGTTGCCACTCTTTATAAACAACACTTTCGCGCCGCCCCCAGCATCCCCCGATAAGATGCCACGAGGGAGGGAACGGGCGATCGGCCGCCAATCTTTAGTTGTCTCTTTCTTCACGGTGCCCCTAGCATCGCCCAATATCAAGCCAGAAGGGTGGGGACGCACAATGTGTTAGACGGTCTTGAAGAAGCGGTCGAGCGATTTATGACCGCGAGGTTGTAGTCAGTCCTGGAGGGATCTTGGGCCCGATTGGAGCCACCTTGGGAGCCTGTCGGAGGCCAACGGGGGGCCACTGGGCCAGTATAGGGGCCATCTTGGGGCCTCCTGGACTGTTTGGGGCCTCTGGGGTGAGGCCTCGTGGATTCTCCCGAAGTGGCTCAAAATTGCATCGTCAGGCCATTTTGACGATGAAAGCAGGGACGGCCAGAACTACACAATCATGTTTGTTAATACTGATGAGTTGTGCAATCGATGTGCAGCTTAGCCTCTCTGGCGTCCTCGAGGCTAGACGAGAGCCAGTGTAGAGGCTTGGGGCCGTCCAGAGCCAGTTTGAGGATCATGACGGCCTGGCAAGCAATCATGGAACGCTCCGACTGGCCTACGAGGCTTCGACGAGCTCCCGAAGCCCCCCCCCCCCTTGAAAGGGATTGTGGAGCTCCAGGGATGCGGCTGCCGCCTGCAGCAGGAGGGCGCCGGGGGAGGGAGACAGGGAGGGGAAGGAGGAGGGGGAAGGGATGAGGAAGGGGGGAGGGGGTGGAATGAGGAGGAGGAGGAACACGGATGCGGAGGGAGAGAGCCAATCATCTCGCGCGCCTTGCCACGCCCGCTCGGTCAGCGGGGGGCAGCGGATTCCCCCCGCGCATGGAGCGCCTGAACGGGCTGGCGCAGCGGCTGCTCGGCTCGGCTGGTTTCCAGACCCTCGACGCCTACAACACCTCCAAGCTTGCCGGCAACGTCTCCGCAGACGGTATTCGGGCGTTGCGTAATGTGGGGCGACCAACGGGGGAGTGAAGAAAAGTGCACTTATCGTGCACCTTAGGGGCCCCAAAGGGGCACGAACGGTGTTCGTTTCATCGCCCTTCTCATTTGTCGCCCCCCATTATCCCCCATCACAAAGTATTCCCAGACACCCTCTAATGGATTTGTTCCTTGGCATTAGGGGAGGGTGGCGGTGTGTAAATCACCACTAAGACCCAGCGACTTTCTACACTGCCGCCCTCCCTGGAGGTGCACGCACAGTCCGTCGGAGGGTGTCTGTGTCCATTTTTCCGCGGCGTACTTTAGCAACGCCCAAGGTATGCACCTGCACGGTCCCGTTGCGCCGGTCCTGACTCGAGTGCTGATCGGCATGTTGTGCGACGGCGGCAGCGCGGAGTAGAGGTGGGAAGACGTGGGCGTCTCTATTCCCCGCCGTGTCCTCATGGCGCAGATCCGCCTGGCTGCCAGTCTGCGGCATGGAGGCCCCGCTCTGGCTTCCCAGCGTTACTGCGAAGTTTTGCCCACGGACACCAACAAGACGTGGTCACGTAGTCCTGCGGCTCCAAGCGCTGTTGAATGCGAGGTTTGTCCGGCTGATGACAACCGGAGTGAGAGCGGGAACAGATGAGCTCTATTAGTTCCTCCTCTGCGTCTTCACCCTCGCACTCCCACCCCGCATCCAGCTTCTTCCAGCCTCCGCTCCACAGCCTGCGTTATTCCCAGAGTAATCATGCAAGTGAACCCCCTGCTTGCAACGAGTCGGGGCGCGCCCGCAGGGAGATGTCATGGGATATGTAGGCCTGCAGGCCATTTATCCACAGTCAATTTGGCTCACTAAAACTACTTGGGACAAGCGATATTGAGCCAAGCGAAAGTCACGTTCGCCCCTTGCATTTATTTGCGCCGAATGGTTTGCATACGTGCGCGCCCGAACTGAATGGTAGATCGAGCTTCGGAGATGTGCGTGGCAAAGTGCAATCGTGTTATGTCAGCTTGTGTCGGCTTGGTCATATTCGTGTTTTCGAAGCACTGGTCGGTGTAATTGGGCGCTCGTTCCGCCATCGTTTCCCCGACGTTCTCTTTCTGCCTAGGCGCCAAGGCTCCCCGAACAAATCAGTGCGGAGTCCAACGTGTCTTCTGAATATCCAGGTGAGTGTGCGGGCTAGGCTGAGGGCATCCGCAGCATTATCTAAAAAGCGCCGGCGCGTGGAGCCCAACAACTAGTATCACATCGTCCCTTGTGGTGCAGCCTGTTGAGCTGAGCGTGTGGGATGTAACTCATGCCATGCGATCCTCGTGGTCTAACTCACAGGGTGTGGTCCATGAGGCGCAGCATATCAGGTGCAATCTTAGGGGTGTGCGTGCAATGCAATCTACGTGATGGACCTATCCAGTGCAATTGCTGGTGTAAAACTTGCAGCCGCCGACGCGAATGCTCTCCGTCAGCCTCAATGCTCGAGCAAGCATTCCACCCAACAGCCCGAAACGTGTTGACAACATCCCACTGGTGTAATGATACGATGGGACTTCTCCCGCTGATCCACGACTCGGGCAGCCGAGTGTTGAGGATGATGGTTGCGTTGATAATGAACGTGGCGACAGTGGCGATAACAATGATAATGTAGATGACGACGACGACGATGTTGACGACGACGACGACGATGGTGATGGCGATAGTGATGAAGATGCGGCGATGATGACAGCGCTGGCGATTGTATTGGAAGTATTGGCGCTTCGCGTCTCTCCATCAGCCCATCCAGAAGCAGATCGCCAGGCGAGTTGCCTTGATCTGGAGAGTGTAAACGCATGCAGCAACAATTGCCTTGGAAGTGTTTTTGTTCGGAGGTCTCTTGGAGTCATCTTGGGTCTCTCTTGGGGTCCTCGCGGAGCCACTCGAGGCACTCTTGGGACCCTCTTAGGGTTATTCGGGGTGTCGAGGGGCCCTCTTGGGGCTCGTTGGGGGGGTCTGGGAGAACTCTTGGGAGATTGTGGGCACCACTGTTCATAAGAGGGGGGTAAAGGATTCATCAGGTCCCCCCCTCGGAGGCTCAAACATTGCGCCTTGGGGCCGTCTTGGGGCGCTCTTGGAGCGTTCGTATGCGCTCTTGGGGCCGTCTTGTGGCCCGCTTGAGCCCCTCTTGGTGTTGTGTTGGGCCGTCTTGGGTCCATGCGGAGGCCTCCAGAGCCCTTCGGAAGCGCACATGCGAGAACGCACAACACATATAGGTTCTCCAGGTCTTGCAGTATTGTTGGCCTCTTAGGGGCTTCGATGGGCACTTGAAGCCGTTTTGGGGCCGTACGCATTTTGGAGATATGTCGGAAGCTAATTTGAGCCGTCTTCGGTTATCTTACGCCATCTTGGAGGCTATCTTGGGCTCTCTGAGCCCCTCTTAGAGCCATCTAGAGCCATCTTGGACGCTATAACTCCACGCGGGGTCAAACCCAGGGGAGGGAGGGGGAGGGGGTGGGGTCAACCCCTCCCCGAGCAGGGGAAGCACGGATTTTGGGCAGAGGGAAGACAAACTTCGTACAACCACCTACAGCCAGATGGTTGCCAGCATGGAGGAGGATGAGGAGTAAGGACAAGCAGGGAGGAAACACAGGGATGAGAAACAGGGGTGAGGAATAGGGAGGAGACGCAGGGAGGAGGAAACACAGGGATGAGAAGCAGGGAGGAGGAGGAACAGAGAGAAAGGTTGCATGAGGAGCACATAGAGAGGAGGGAGGAGGCAGGACGAGCAGAAGGAATATACGAAAGAAGGGATGGCCATAGACGAATGCAGAGGAACAGTCGCCTTGGACGTGTGTCGGTGTCGCAAAAGCGGCAGGAACAAATGTTGAAGCACTCAACAAGTTTGTCCTTAATTCTGCGGCTTCATTAAGGGGGGCATGTTCAAGCGAAGGTAAGCGCCCTTTTTCCCCAACCATTATGTGGTGTTGGGTCCTCGTTTTGAAGGGACGTCGCCCCGCGTTCCTCTCCGCCTTCTCTCCTCTTCCTCCTCCCCCCTTCCTCTCTCCTCCCGTCATCATCAGCATCGTCATCATCACCATCACCATCAGCGTCATCATCCGCATCGTCATCATCAGCATCACCATCGTCATCATCATCTTCAGCATCAGCATTATCATCATCAGCATCATCATCATCACGACCGTTATCATCACCAGCATCATCACCCATGTCGGCACACCCCTCACGCGCTTCGTGGCCCCATAGGGAGTTCCACCGAAGGCCCCAGTGCCACCGCCCGCATACGTCCCCCACACCCATTTCGGCACATCCCTCACACGTTCCGTGGCCCCATAGGGATTTCCACCGAAGGCCCCAGTGCCACCGCCCGCATGCGTCCCCCACACCCATTTCGGCACACCCCTCACACGTTTCGTGGCCCCATGGGAAGTTCCACCGAAGGCCCCAGTGCCACCGCCCGCATGCGCCCCTCACACCGAGTTCGGCACATCCCCCACACGCTTCGTGGCCTCATAGGGAGCCACACCGAAGGCCCCAGTGCCACCGCCCGCATGCGCCCCACCCATTTCGGCACACTCCTTCACACGTTTCGTGGCCCCATAGGGAGCTCCACCGAAGACCCCAGTGTCACCGCCCGCATGCGCCCCCCACGCATAATTCGGCACACCCCTCACAGGTTTCGTGGCCCCATATGGAGCTCCACCGAAGGCCCCAGTGCCACCGCCCGCATTCGCCCCCCACACCCATTTCGGCATGCCCTTCGCACGCTTCGTGGCCCCATAGGGAGCTCCACTGAAGGCCCCAGTGCCACCGCCCGCGTGCACCCCCCCACACACAGTTCGGCACACCTCACACGCTTCGTGGCCCCATACGGAGCTCCACCGAAGGCCCCAGTGCCACCGCCAACATGCGCCCCCCACGCTCATTTCGGCGCATCCCTCACACGTTCCGTTGCCCCATAGGAAGTTCCACCGAAGGCCCCAGTGCCACCGCCCGCATGCGTCCCCCACACACACATTTCGGCACACCCCTCACACGTTTCGTGGCCCCATGGAAACCAACCGAAGGCCCCAGTGCCACCGCCCGCATGCGTCCCCCACAGCAATTTCGGCACACCCCTCACACGCTTCGTGGCCTCATAGGGAACTCCACCGAAGGCCCCAGTGCCACCGCCCGCATGCGTCCCCCACACCCATTTCGGCACACCCCTCACTTTTCGTTGCTCCATAGGGAGCTCCACCGAAGGCCCCAGTGCCACCGCCCGCATGCGTCCCCCACACCCATTTCGGCACATCACTCACACGTTCCGTGGCCCCAGAGAGAGCTCCACCGAAGGCCCCAGTGCCACCGCCCGCATACGCCCCCCCACACCCATTTCGGGCTCGTGGCCCATAGGGAGCCCCACCGAAGGCCCCAGTGCCACCGCCCGCATGCGTCCCCCACACCCATTTCGGCACATCACTCACACGTTTCGTGGCCCCATAGGGAACTCCACCGAAGGCCCCAGTGCCACCGCCCGCATGCGTCCCCCACACCCATTTCGGCACATCCCTCATACGTTCCGTGGCCTCACAGGGGGCTCCACCGAAGGCCCCAGTGCCACCGCCCGCATGCGTCCCCCACAGCCATGTCGGCACACCCCTCACACGTTTCGTGGCTCCATAGGGAGCTCCACCGAAGGCCTCAGTGCCACCGCCCGCATGCGTCCCCAACACCCATGTCGGCACACCGCCCACACGCTTCGTGGCCTCATAGGGAGCTCCACCGAAGGCCCCAGTGCCACCGCCCGCATGCGTCCCCCACAGCCATTTCGGCACACCCCTCACACGCTTCGTGGCCACAGGGAGCTCCGCCGAAGGCCCCAGTGCCACCGCCCGCATGCTTCCCCCGCGCACATGTCCGCACACCCCTCGCATGCGTCGTGGCCTCACAGGGAGCTCCACCGAAGGCCCCAGTGCCACCGCCCGCATGCGTCCCCCACACGAATTTCGGCACACCCCTCAAACGCTTCCTGGCCCCATAGGGGGCTTCACCGAAGGCGCCAATGTCACCACCACCATGCGTCCGCCACACTCACGGTTGCAGGGAACAGCTCCAGACCTCTGTGGAGAAGGAGGAGGCGGAGGAGGAGGAGGAGGAGGAGGAGGCCCGCTCCCCCCGTATGTATGTTGCTTTGCATTCGCGGGAGATCCCATTCTACCAGCGAGGGTTTTTCTGGTGTTCTCGCTGTGGTCGCTGTGAACGACCGGCGTTCTCGCCCAACCTGTACAACATGCTGGCGTTCCGGTCCTACCTGGGACGCAAGGCCGAGTGGGGCGCGGAGGAGCGGGAGCACGACCAGGTCGGCGGAGCCTTCGGTCGGATGCCCATCGTGATCCACCTGGGGGACGTCCTGCAGCTGACGCCGACGGGAGGCAAATTGTCCCTCATTTCCAGCTTCCAGGAACTAGCGGCGGCGGGCATCAACCTCGCTCCAGAGTGCCAGGCCGTGATGAAGCTCTTCTGCAACACGCCGCTGTGCTTCGAGCTCCAGGCGCCCAACCGCTTCAAGGACCCGGAGCCCAGGGATCTCATGGCCCTCCTGCGCAAACCGGGGAGGCAGGTCCTTCCGGCCATCCGGGCCACTGAAACCCGATGATCGTCGGCTCCAGGAGGAGAGGTTCCAGAACAGCCA